ACCCTGAACCCTGAAAATTCTCGCAGAAGCCTGGAAGTTGTCCAGGTGCAGCCAAAGGTGGACCTGAACAGAGGATTTAGGGTTTAGGGTTTGGGGTTTAGGGTTTAGGGTTTAGGGTGTCAGGGTTTTAGGGTTTTAGGGTTTTAGGGGTTTAGGGTTTTAGGGTTTAGGGTTTCGGGCTTGGGGCTTGGGGCTTGGGGCTTAGGGCCTAGGGCTTAGGGCTTCGGGCTTAGGGCTTAGGGCTTAGGGCTTAGGGCTTAGGGCTTAGGGCTTAGGGCTTAGGGCTTAGGGGTTAGGGGGTTGGGGGTTGGGGGTTGGGGGTTTGCGGTGTGGCTTATGGGGTCTAGGTTTTCATGAGGGCCGATACTGGGATTTAGGGTTTAGGGTTTGGGATTTAGACAATACAACTTGGGATGTTCCCCCTTATGCTGACAGTCCTTAGTACAGTAGGGATTATAATAGGGGTACTATAATCCCTGTAAAGGACTGTTAGTACAAGGGGGTGGGGGGGGGGGGAACATCCCAAAATAAAAAACACATAAAAAACTAACACTAAAACCTAGAGAACAAAACTCCAACGGCGTGCAAGAGGCGGGTTCTTTCCGATCTTTCCGCTCGAACGGCGAGGAGAGTGTCGCACACCTGTGCAGGGGTGCTTGGTTTTAGGGGTTAGGGTTTCGGGTTTAGGGTTTAGGGTTTAGGGTCTAGGGTTAGGGTTTAGGGTTTAGGGTTTAGGGTTTAGGGTTCCGGGTTTAGGGTTTAGGGTTTAGGGTTTAGGGTTTAGGGTTTAGGGTCTAGGGTCTAGGGTCTAGGGTCTAGGGTTGAGGGTTGAGGGTTTAGGGTTGAGGGTTGAGGGTTGAGGGTTGAGGGTTTAGGGTTTAGGGTTTAGGGTTTAGGGTTTAGGGTTTAGGGTTTAGGGTTTAGGGTTTAGGGTTTAGGGTTTAGGGTTTAGGGTTTAGGGTTTAGGGCTTAGGTAGCAACGTAGAGATGCCCCTTTGCCACGCAGTTCCTAGGGTAGTTCTAATTAGGACCCTTTCTCTTTTTGTTTCATATGTTTGTTTTTGTTTTATGTTGTTTCTCCTTTTTTGTTAGGGGTGGGGAGGGGTTCTTTATACAAAGGTAGCGGCTTCCAGAAACGCCACACGCGGAGATTCATGGGTACTCTGAACATTTAACGCCGTTCACAGATTCAGGGTTTAGGGTTTAGGGTTAGGGTTTCGGGTTTAGGGTTTAGGCTTTAGGCCTTAGGCCTTAGGGTTTAGGGTTTAGGGTTTAGGGTTTAGGGTTTAGGGTTTAGGGTTTAGGGTTTAGGGTTTAGGAGTTAGGCTTTAGGCTATAGGCTTTAGGGTTTAGTTTAGGCTTTAGTTTAGGCTTTTTAGGCTTTTTAGTTTAGGCTTTAGGCTTTAGGCTTTTAGGCTTTAGGCTTTAGGCTTTAGGCTTTAGGCTTTAGGCTTTAGGCTTTAGGCTTTAGGCTTTAGGCTTTAGGCTTTAGGCTTTAGGCTTTAGGCTTTAGGCTTTAGGCTTTAGGCTTTAGGCTTTAGGCTTTAGGCTTTAGGCTTTAGGCTTTAGGCTTTAGGGTTCAGGGTTCAGGCTTCAGGCTTCAGGCTTCAGGCTTCAGGCTTCAGGCTTGGGGGGTTTAGGGCCTAGGGTTTAGGGTTTAGGGTTTAGGGTTTAGGGTTTAGGGTTTAGTCCTTCTTATAAGGGGACAGGGGATCCCTACTATTTGGAGCTATACTCGAGGTCCCCTTATTATCATAAACCCCCCATTTCAACCCCTGGGCTTTTTAATCACCCATGACCCGTCAAGTAGGCTTCTGCTCCCCGAAGATAGAATAGAGCTTGCAGGCTTTAGGGTTCAGGGTTAGGCGTTAGGGTCGAGAGCCTACGAAAACATAACCCGACAAAAACGCAAAAACCTCCCAAGGCCTCCCTGAAAAACCCTAAACTCACATTCCCGACACCCCAGACCCCTAACCGTACAAATCGAACCCTACACCCTAGGCTGTAAACCCTAAACCCTAATCCCTAAACCCCAAACCCCAAATCCCAAAACCCGCAAGTGGAGAACCCCGGACCTCGCCCGGACGTGGCGGCGTGGCTCGCCCGGCACCCGCAGCACCATGGGCGGCAGCGCCTGGTTCAGGGTTTAGGGTTTAGGGTTTAGGGTTTGGGGTTTGGGGTTTGGGGTTTCGGGTTTAGGGCCTGAGGTCCAGGGCCCTAGGGTTCGCTACACACACCGTGTTTAGAGATGCAAGGGTTGATAAAGTCTGACACCTCAGTGTCTGGGCCGTGTTTGCAGGGGAGGTTAGGGTTTTTGGCGCCCACTTCTCAGGTTAACCTGCAAGAATCTTCCAGCCTGAACCCTAAACCCTCAACCCTGAGCGTAAGCCCCCAAACCCTGGGGCTCTAGACCTCACGCCCTACACCCAAAACCCTAAACCTTAAACCCTAGACCCTACACCACCCTATAAACCCCCAAAAAAAGACCCTGAAAGCCCTGGACGGCGCCTGCTGACCCAACGCCTCGGCGCGGGCGACCCGGCCCGCATAGCGCCGGATCCCCGCCTCTGGGCGCACGGGATGCTTTGTGTAGGGTTTCAGGGTTTAGGGTTTGGATTTTGGGTTTAGGGTGTAGGGTTCAGGGTTCAGGGTTCGTATTTCACCTTAGGGTTTAGAGTTTACTTAGGGTTCAGAAACATAAAACAAAGACATTAACATCAGGCCTAGTCACTCAAACAATCGCAAGGGCTCCTTTGTTCAACAGAATGCTTGAGAACTTTAACTTTAAGAAGAAATAAGGGAACCCTTGCTTCTTTCTTCTGCTAGACCAAAGCCTTTGCATTGTCCTGAATAAGAAGCGAGAGAAGCCTTCTTCTTCTTGGCAAAAGGATCAACCAGTCCTGTAAGAGGACTCCTTGAAGAGGACAGACGAAAGACACTGCACATTGGTTATAAACATGAGCAAGGTCCACCGATGCTCCAGGGATTAATGAGAGAAGCCTTGGAATGATGAAGAATAAGAAGGCAATTTGTTGAACATGGGATCCGAAAGAGGTGTGCGTGACCCTTCGTGATTCCTGAGTGCTGCCACGATGGGAAACGCCGCGTGTGCACCTAACCCACTTGCCACTGTTGGGCATGACGGAAGCAAAATCGAGGGTCGAACGGATCTCGGAGCTTGCCTTGTCTGGTTTATGGCTGCGGCTTACCGACGTGTTTCTGACGACGCGAGGCCCGCTGGGAAACCAGCTTCAAAGCAACCCGCACTGGCTTCAGCTTCGTACTTTTATTGTTCAATTCTTTTTCACTCCGGAAAAGCAGTAATAAAAATATCTTTTGACACAAGAAAATTAAGATGGACAAGGAGTGAAGGTCGTGAACTGTGAGGAAGATTCCATGGGCACACTTCTAATATGCTTTGTTCATGGTGTTCACGCCTGAAGAACACCAGTATTACTAGTGAATTTACAAATATGTGTCCATATAATGTTACTATAACGTGGGGCAAAATACGCCCTAACTTCTATTTTATGCTATTTAAAGGGGCTTCTAGCGCAATAAAAGACCGGCCAAGAACGACATCTCTTGTTCTCCTTTGTTTATTTCATTTGAGCTCAAAATTACGAAAATACTTTGTAAATCGTAATAGTAATAAGACAACGGGCCGCAAAAACAACACAGCTCATGGCCTGCAACAACAAATAAGAATGTACCATAAGAAGAATTCGCGGCTCTCCTAAATCGTCGACTACCGGCTTTTAAGTAGGAAAAATCCGAAGTCCTAAACCCTAAACCCTAAACCCTAAACCCTAAACCCTAAACCTCTCCTACATCCGAAACCCTAAACTAGACCCAAACCCTGAACCCTAAACCACCCATGAATCCTAAAGCCCTAGACTCTATGTATATACATAGGGGCCCCAACAACCCACACAAACCTAAGGATGCCACAAACAGGGTTTAGGGTTTAGGGTTTAGGGTTTAGGGTTTGGGGTTTAGGGTTTAGGGTTTAGGGTTGAGGGTTTAAGGTTCTCCAGAATTCCCCTTCGGCTTTGCAAAGCCCGCGCCTCGATGCTGGTCCAGTCCAGCGGCCGAGCGAAATGCTGCAGGGAGAGGCGTCTAGGGTTTAGGGCTTGGGGTTTAGGGTTTAGGGTTTCGGGTTTAGGGGATAGGGTTTAGGGTTTAGGGTTTAGGGTTTAGGGCTTGGGGTTTAGGGTTTTGGGTTTCGGGTTTAGGGGTTTAGGGGTTCATACGAGGGGTCACCACCTGAAACCATCCTGGACTGGGGGCTCTTTGCCATAAGCCCTATCACCTTTAGAACCGGGCTTATGTTTAGCGTTCGGGTTTTCGGGCTGTGCGCTCTAGCTACCACTTCGAGCCTGCTAGGTAATCATAACCTTCCCGATCACCACACATGAGCCTTCAAGTACCCTGAAACGCTGCAAAAAGACCAGCATGTAAACAGCCCCAGGGTCTGAACCCAGGCTTTCAGTGCTCCAAGCGCTTCTGCTTTTCCGGCGTTGCTACATGTTTTCCAAGCCGGGAATGTTCTTTCCAAAATTAGCGAGGGCCAGGTGCAAACTTATTGCCAACGATACCAGGGAGGGCCCCCCGCCCCGGGGCATCTTCAAGCTCCTTGACAAAACTACAACGATGAAGCAGACAGATTCCAGAGGTAACTACTTGTAGCAATGCGGTTGCTCGCAAAGCTCCCATCTTTAGCACTTAACCGAAGCCAGCCGACGGTACCGTAGATGGGGGGCTGGGGGGCGACGCTGCAAGCGCTGCAATCAACCGAATCCCGACATGTCCGGCAGTAATCTACAGGGCCCAGCGGACCAGGGCCGGAAGACCAGAGGATTACTGCCAATCCGATTTCATTGACTGGTTTTGGAAAGCTCCCTGAAGAAGTGGGCCAAGGGGACTTTCAGACCAGAGGACCCCAGGACCAGGGGGACAAGAGGGGAGAAAAGAGAAGCCGTCCTAAACCGGCTGTCACCCTAGATGTGCACCTAGATGCGCAACTGAAAACCCCATTTTGAACTACCCACCACGACTCCCTAAACCCTAAACCCTAAACCCTAAACCCTAAACCCTTTCTTGGCAAGCCCCAAACGAGGCCTTCAGCGAGGGCATTCCCATCCGCACCTTCGGACTGTCGCTCCTTGGGGATGTGGGTTTAGGGTTTAGGGTTTAGGTTTTAGGGTGTAGGGTTTCAGGGTTCAGGGTTTAGGTTTAGGGTTTAGGGTTTAGGGTTTAGGGTTTAGGGTTTAGGGTTTAGGGTTTAGGGTTTAGGGTTTAGGGTTTAGGGTTTAGGGTTTATGGTTTAGGTTTAGGGTTTAGGGTTTAGGGTTTAGGGTTTAGGGTTTAGGGTTTAGGGTTTAGGGTTTAGGGTTTAGGGTTTAGGGTTTAGGGTTTAGGGTTTAGGGTTTAGGGTTTAGGGTTTAGGGTTTAGGGGGGTTCAGGGCTTTAGGTGTCTAATGTCGAGGGAGGGAGGGGGGGGCTCCAGGATCTTTTGAGGGCTTTAGGGCGTTGGGATGCTTTTGGGTTCAGGGCTTTGCAGGGCTGGTCTTGTTTGGGTTTAGGGTTTAGGGTTTAGGGTTTAGGGTTTAGGGTTTAGGGTTTAGGGTTTAGGGTTTGGGGTTTGGGGTTTGGGGTTTGGGGTTTAGGGTTTAGGGGTTGCTTGTTGGGGTTTAGGGCTTTAGGGCGGTTTAGGCTTCAGGTTTGGGGTTTAGGGCGTTTCGGAAATGGGTTTGGGGTTTGCCGCGCTTATGGGTTTAGGCCTCGGTGCCCTAAACCCTAGTCCCCAAAACCCAAAACCCTAAACCCTAGTCCCCAAACCCTACACCCTAAGCCCTTAACCTTAATGGAGGCTCGTGAGGGTTTACTGGCTTGGGGACGAGGATTAGGGATCAGGGTTTGGGGCTTAGGGTTTAGGGTTTAGGGTTTAGGGCTTAGGGTTTAGGGTTTAGGGTTTAAGGCTTAGGGTTTAGGGTTTAGGGTTTAGGGTTTAGGGTTTAGGGTTTAGGGTTTAGGGATTAGGGTTTAGGGTTTAGGGTTTAGGGTTTAGGGTTTAGGGTTTAGGGTTTAGGGTTTAGCCTGAGCCCCTGAAGCCTTAACGTAAGACAAAGGATGCTGCATCCATGCTCTGCATGCTCTTTGGCATATCTTGCTTTCTAATTCCCCTAGAAGACCCTAAGACCTGAGCCCTAAACCCTAAACCCTAAACCCTAAACCCTAAACCCCAGAAGCCTTAAAGACTCTGAGCCCTTTCCCGAAGCGAGCTGGAGCCCAGCCGCTGGCGAGTGAAGCGCAGATGCGCCTCCTCTATGTCCAGGAGCTCCTGCGATTTAGGGTTTAGGGTTTAGGGTTTGGGGTTTAGGGTTTAGGGTTTAGGGTTTAGGGTTTAGGGTTTAGGGTTTAGGGTTTAGGGTTTAGGATTTAGGGTTTAGGGCTTAGGGCCTAGGATCTTTTTGGGCTTAGAGCTTAGGGGCTGCATCTGCGTCATCTCCTTTCTAAACCCTAAAACCTAGACCCTAAACCCAGACCCTAAACCCTAAACCCTAGATCCTAGACCCTAGACCCTAGACCCTAGACCCTAAGACCCTAAACCCTAAACCCTAGACCCTAAACCCTAGACCCTAGACCCTGAAAGCCGAAATGGGCCTGAACTCATCTTGAGGCAGCAACTCGCCTCTGCCGGCTACACATCTTGCAGCCCCAACCTCTGTTACCTGAACCAGTCATAGCCCCTCAGCCTTCCTGTCCCTAAACCCTAAACCCTAAACCCTAAACCCTAAACCCTAAACCCTAAACCCTAAACCCTAAACCTTAAACCTTAAAGGGGGGGGGGGGGGGGGGGGGGGGTGGTGCTTGGGGATTTAGGCACTTGGGCTTGAGGGTGTAGTGGCGTTTAGGGTTTAGGCTTTGGGGTTTAGCGGTGTTTTTTGGGGCTTAGGGGTGCTTCGGGTGGCTCAGGCGCGAGGGTTAGGTGAGGTTCAGGGTTTAGTGGCGCTAAGGTTGTAGTGGTGTTTATGTTCCAGTGATGTTTAGGACTTAAGCCCCAGGCAAACCCTAAACACAAATAATCCCCACAGCCTAAACCCTGAGCACTAACAAACCCGCAACACCAAAAGGCCCTAAAGCCCTAGACCCCAAACACGGCTAGGCCCAAAAGCCTAAACACTAAACACCACTAAATTCTGGGCACACGAAGCCCTAACGCCGAAAGTCTAAACACCACTAAGCCCGAAAGGCCCTGAGGCCTAAACCCTAAGCATCACTAAACCCTAAACACCACCAAGCCCTAAAGCCTTAGCCCTAAAGACCACCAAAGCCTAAACACCCCTAAAGCCCGAACACCACGAAGCCCGAAAGCCTAAGCCCTAAGCGCTGTTAAACCCTAAGGAGCCTAAAGGCCTGAAGCCCCAAAAAAGCCGTTTCCGAATCCCTAAACCCTAAACCCTAAACCCTAAACCCTAAACCCCAATGCTCAGGCTCCTAAACCCCAAGCCCTCTGCGCCCACTGTGAGGCTCCGTGTTCGCGTTGAGCAGCAGGGTCATCTCCGCCAACTCATCGTAGAACTCTACCTTTTTGCTGGGGCATTTCGATGGGTTTGGGGTTTTAGGCTTTGGGGCATGGAAGTTCCTAAGCACCAAAAACCCCCGAAACCCCAACACAAAGGACAACTACGGCCAAGCAGCCTGAACCCTAAACCCTAAATATCCCTAAACCCTAAACCCTAAACCCTCCACACTAAACCCTAAACCCTAAACCCTAAACCCTAAACCCTAAACCCTAAACCCTAAACCCTTCAACCGTAACCCTTTTGTTTAGGGCTTCGGGTTTAGGGCTCCCTGAACCCCGAAACCATAAACCCTAAACCCCCCTTTTAAAGGGCCCATACTAAGGGACCATGTAACTACCCTAAACCCTAATATCCCTAAGCCTAAACCCTAAACCCTAAACCACCCTTTTTTTTGAGGGCCCATACTAAGGGACAATGTAACTACCCTAAACCCTAAACCCTAATATCTCTAAACTCTAAACCCTAAACCCTAAACGTGCCTGCTTCTTCCTTTCACCAAACCCTAAACCCTAAACCCTAAACCCTAAACGTGCCTGCTTCTTCATTTCACCAAGCCCTAAACCCTAAACCCCAAACCCTAAACCCTAAACCCTAAACCCCCCTTTTGTAAGGCCCCATACTAAGGGACCATGTAACTACCCTTTAGAAACCAAGGCCCCAGACCGGCCTGAGCCTCGGTCTCGTTGCTGGCCGCAGAGGCCACTGAGGGCGGCCGCCTGCTTGAGGGGTTTAGGGTTTAGGGTTGAGGGTTGAGGGTTGAGGGTTGAGGGTTGAGGGTTGAGGGTTTAGGGTTTAGGGTTTAGGGTTTCGGGTTTAGGGTTTAGGGTTTAGGGTTTAGGGCTTAGGGCTTAGGGTCTTGGGTTTAGGGTTTAGGGTCTGGGGTCTAGGGAAGAATTCGAGGTTTTAAGGCTTAGGGGTTTGCGATCTGGTCTGGGACTTAGGGTCTGGGTTGGGGGCTTAGGGCTTCTAGAGCGTTTAGGACGTAGAGCTTGTCGGGCCTACGTAGGGCTTAGCACGGACCTGCCCTCGAATGCCCTAGAATTCCCGGAAAACCCGAAACACGGGATGCTCAAGCCCAAAGCCCCTAAGCCCTAAGCCCTAAGCCCTAAACCCTAAACCCTAAACCCTAAACCCTAAACCCTAAACCCTGAACCCTAAACCCCCTCCCCCTGCCTGGCAGCCAGAAGTTCACTGGGAAGAAATCCAGGATTGGGTTGTTCTGCCTTTCACAGCTGGGCTTAGGGCTTAAGGCCTAGGGCTTAGGGCTTAAGGCCTAGGGCCTAGGGCTTAGGGCTTAGGGTTTAGGGTTTAGGGTTTAGGGTTTAGGGTTTAGGGCTTAGGGCTTAGGGCTTAGGGCCTAGGGCCTAGGGCTTAGCGCTTAGGGTTTAGGGCTTCGGGTTTCGGGTTTAGGGTTTAGGGTTTAGGGTTTAGGGTTTGGGGTTTGGGGTTTAGGGTTTAGGGTTTAGGGTTTAGGGTTCAGGGCTGCTGTCTGTCACATCGAAGAGATGCGTTCCGATCACCTTGTCCAGATTTGCTTCTACGGCACTCACGACAGTGCCCGTAAACCCTAAATCCTAAACCCTAAACCCTAAACCCGAAAAACCCTAAACCCGTAAACCCTCTAAACCCCCTAAACCCCCTAAACCCTAAACCCCCTGAACCCTAAACCCCCTGAACCCTACACCCCCAAACCCCAAAGCTCCAAACCCCCCTAAACCCCGCCAACCCGCTAAACCGCCTCAACCCCCCTCAACCCTCATAAACCCCCCTAAACCCTCAAAGACTCTAAAAAAACAGCCCTTAAAAAATCTCAAAAACTACCTTAAAACAACGAAAAGCAAAAAAAAAAAAAAAAAACGCCTCGCGGACCCTCGCGTCGACGTCCTCGGTCAGGGAGAGGAGGTGGTGCATCGACTCGGCGCCGTAGAGCCTTCCGGCTTTTGAGAGCTTATGTATGGATGGGGGGGGGGGTGTTCAGGGTTTAGGGTTTAGGGTTTAGGGTTTAGGGTTTATGGTTTAGGGTTTAGGGTTTAGGGTTTAGGGTTTAGGGTTTGGGGCGTTGCAGAGTTTGAGGCCTCCGACAGCTGGCCTTATCTAGGGTACAGGGTTTAGGGCTTAGGGTGTAGGGTTGAGGGTTAAGGTGTTTAGGGTGATGAGGAGCTGCCTATGACCCTTTCGTGACTCTAAACCCTAAACCCTAAACCCTAAACCCTAAACCCTAAACCCTAAACCCTAAACCCTAAACCCTAAACCCTACGAAGATCTTTGCTCCCCAGGCCGGACCTCGGCAAGGGGACGTGGCACACGTCCACCGACACGGTCCTTGGCGGATGGGAAGCCGGAAGTAGAGTTGAGGGCCTAGGGCTCAGGGCTTGGGGTTTCGGGTTTAGGGGTTAGGGTTTAGGGTTTAGGGTTTAGGGTTTAGGGCTTAGGGTTTAGGGTTTAGGGTTGAGGGTTTAGGGTTGAGGGTTTAAGCTCGAAAGGGCATCGCTTGCGAAGACAAGGACACAGACCACAAAGCTTTGGGCCCACGCGACCTGCAAGCATGGCAGGATCGTTTGCAAGTCAGGAACGCAGGCCAATGAAAGCTAAGAAGCAGCCATCCAATCAAACAACACTAAACCCTAAACCCTAAACCCTAAACCCTAAACCCTAAACCCTAAACCCTAAACCCTACACCCCCCTCAACTTGAAAAAGCCAGGCCATGACCGCGCCGGCGTAGGGTTGTGGGGTTTGGGGGTTGGGGTTTGGGGTTTAGGGTTTAGGGTTTAGGGTTTAGGGTTTAGGGTTTAGGGTTTAGGGTTTAGGGTTTAAAGCTTAGGGCCCATTTGGCTTCCTGGCTTCAGGCTTAGAAGTTCCGGGCTTGGGGGTGTCGGGGGTTTTGGGCGCTCAGTGCTCCGAGGGGCTCCTAAAACGGTTCTTTGAGCAGCCCTTTTTGGGGGGGGCTTAGGGCTTAGGGTCTTGGGCTTCGGGTCTATCACCCCAAACCCCAAAACCCAAGCCCTAACCCTAAACCCTAAACCCTGAACCCTGAACCCTAAGCCCTATCCCAGTCGAACCAACTCAGAACTCTTCATTTCCTGGAATGGTCTAGATTCTTCGGGCTAGGCCCCGCATTATCTGAAGCCTCAGCGCCTACCCCTGCTGAAAAATCTCTTTCAGGCTTTAGGGCTTAAGGACCCTTGACCGTGAAACCTAAACCCGAAACCCTAAACCCTAAACCCGAAACCCTAAAACCTAAACCCTAAACCCTAAGCCCTAAAACCCTACCCTAACCCTACACCCTAAACCCTAAACGCTACGTAGACCCAGCGTCCGAGTCCGATCGCGCGAGGCCAGCGGAACGCGAATGCAGCGTGGGGCGCTCTCCGGGCACACTGGAGGGCACTCCTCCTGCACAAGCCCTGAACCCTAAACCCTTAGAGCTTGGGATGTTCCCCCTTATACTGCCAAGTCCTTAATGGTGACTATAGTTGGGGGGGGAGGGGGGGGGGGTACTAGTATAAGGGGGAAACATCCCAACTTGAACCTTCCTTAAACTCCAAGATGATCTGAACTGATCTGAACTGAGCCCACCCCAGGCACCACCCCTAGCCCAGACCCTTGACCCCTAAACCCTGGCCCTAAACCCTAAACCCTAAATCCTAAACCCTCAACCCTAAACCCTACACCCTAAACCCTAAACCCTAAACCCAAACCCCTCCACCCCTCCACCCCTCCACCCCTAAGCCCTGGGAGGGGGAGGGCAGTGGGGTGGGTTGCTCCAAAGTTCGGGTCCCTCAATAGGTAGGCTTAACCCACACGTGCGTCGCTTGCATAGCACATCCGCCCCCTTGGTCCCTTGGTGCCCCAAACCTCCAACACTGAATCCCCAAACCTCCGTTTTCCCCAACCCTAAACCCTAAACCCTAAACCCTAAACCCAAAACCCAAAACCCAAAACCCTAAACCCTTACCCCCTAACCCCGGGGAAGTCCAGTCGAGGAGGATACGAGCGGGGTTTAGGGTTGTTAAGGGCTTCAGGCTTTAAACGGTTAAGGGTTCAAGGTAAGGGTATAGGGGCTTGAGGGTTCAAGGGTTTAAGGGCTTAAGGGGTTCAAGGGTTTAAGGGTTTAAGGGTTTAAGGGTTTAAGGGTTTAAGGGATTAAGGGTTTAAGGGTTTAAGGGTTTAAGGGTTTAAGGGTTTAAGGGTTTAAGGGCTTAAGAGTTTAAGGGCTTAAGAGTTTAAGGGCTTAAGGGCTTAAGGGCCCCTAAACCCTAAACCCCAAAACCTAAACCCTAAACCCTAAACCGCCGTGGTTCAAGGGTAGAAGGGCTTAAAAGCTTAAGACTCAGGGTTGAAGGGCTTTCGACTAAGGCTTGAAGGGCTTAAGGGTCCAAGGGTTTAAGGGTGGTTTAGGGTTTAGGCTTTAGGGTTTAGGGTTTAGGGTTTAGGGTTTAGGGTTTAGGATGTAAGGGTTTGGGATTTCAGGGTTTAGCCAGCGTAAGGTTAAACCCCAAACCCGAAACCCTAAACCCTAAACCCTAAACCCTAAACCCTAAACCCTAAACCCTAAACCCCACTGCGGTCCTGTTTGGCAAGGAAGTCCAGGAAGGAAGAGCGGGCCAGCTCCCCGTCAATGAGGTCCAGGAAGGAGAGCTCCGCAAAGTCCTCCTGTACAAACTCCCCCCCCCCTTGCGGTTTAGGGTTTAGGGTTTAGGGTTTAGGGTTTAGGGTTTCAGGGTTCAGGGTTTAGGGTTTGGGGTTTAGGGTTTAGGGTTTACGGTTTAGAACAATGCATGAATAACAGGTTAACGTCCCAAAACACTCCAAACCCTAAAACATACGAGCTGCATTTTCAAGAAAACTCATCGGATCCCCCGGAGCCCCAGCCGCAAGAACAAAGGTTTAGGGTTTAGGGTTTAGGGTTCAGGGCTTAGGGTTTGGGCTTTGGGGTTTAGGGTTCTGGGTTTGGGGCTACTTGGAAGGCATTACGGTACGGGCAACCGAGGGACTCTCATGCGCCACGGGGTCCTGCCAAGAGAACACCATTTTGACGTACGATCCTACCGCCTACCAGGTTGGGGGTTAGGGTACCTAACCTCAAAAACCAAAATACCAGAAGAATACCCAACAAGCAACAAAAACAGGACGAGGAAAGAGAGCACCCGAAACCCGAAACCCAAAACCAAAAACTGAAAACCCGAAACCCGAAACTCGAAACCCTAAACCCTAAACCCTAAACCCTAATCCCTAAACCCTAAACCCTAAACCCTAAACCCCACACGGCACCTTGGAGGCCAACAGGCGTTGCAGGCACGCCGCGCTGCCACAGATCTTGAGGCTGCCTTGGCGTCCCCGACTGAGGGGTCTTCGGGCTTAGGGTTTTGGGGGTTTTGGGGGTTTTGGGCTTCGGGTTTTGGGGGTTTTGGGGGTTTTGGGTTTAGGATTTGGGGTTTAGGTTTCGGGCTTCGGGCATAGGGCTTAAGGTTTAGGGCTTAGGGTTTAGGGTTTTGGGGGTTTTGGGGGTCTTGGAGGTTTTGGGGGTTTCGGGGGTTTTGGGGATTTGGGGGGTTTTGGGGTTTAGGGCTTTTTGGGGTTTAGGGTTTTGGGGTTTAGGGTTTTGAGATTTAGGGTTTTTGCGGTTTAGGGTTTAGGGTTTAGGGCTTCGGGTTTAGGGTTTAGGGTGTGCAGCAGTGTATGCGCGGGGACCGCGCCTTCTCTTTAGGTTGAGGGGGCGCACTCCCTATCGCGCACGGGGGGGGGGGGGGGCCTCAGGGGCCGTTTAGGCTTCGGCCTCATCAGTACAAAGCCCTGGATCCTGTCTTTGGGGGTGGGGGGTGGGTATGCCCAGCATCTGGGAGAAAAGAATGCCACGTCCACTATGAATCATGCACAAGTTTTCATGGCAGAAGCGCCCTCGTTTTCGGATGTTCGCGAAACCCATGAGAAGGACCGACAAGGCCCAGGGTAGCGTAAGCCTCTGACGACCTCCGATTTGTGGTCAAGATCACGCTGGGAGGGCGGTTCCCCAAGGTGCCGGGCGTTCGTTCCCCTAAACCCTAAACCCTAAACCCTAAATCCTAAACCCTAAACCCTAAACCCTAAACCCTAAACCCTAAACCCTGTTCTCCAAGCGTTTCTGTCCAAGTACCAGGTGTAGTTTCCGCCCCTTGGGAGGTCCACTTGGGACAGGACAGCAAACCTTAGGCGTGGCCCTGCTGAGAAAGCAGTGGCCCGCGAGATATACGAACTCTTTCAGGTTGAGCGACGTTGTGCATTGCGGGTTTTGGTCAGTGTTTAAGCGACCAGATCCTGTGTGGACAGAAGTCACTGTCACTGTCATTCACTTGGCTGACTTGCTTCGTCGCTGCGACCAAATCTCGAGTGCGTTGACGTCACTGTCATTCACTTGGCTGACGTGCATGCGAACGATTTGGGTCTTTTGGTACGTTGTCTTAGCAGTCACCAGCTTACAACACCACGAAGGAGTCGTCAGCTCATCGTCGGGCGAGACGCTCGCGGACAAGGAGCAGAACAAGGTTGAGAAACCATTTGTCGGGTTTGGCAAAGCTGGATCCAGTACAGTTAGAGATCGATTGCTGGACATTAAGACAGCATCATTCGAACAGCCACCTCCCAAACGCGGCCATGGAGGAGAAAGCGCAGCCGTGGAAGTGTTGGATGTGCCCCAGACTCAACAAAGCCAAGACGGAGTTTTGTGGAAGCTGTGGGGCACATTGGACCGGGAATACACAGCAGAGCATGCAGTGGCATCAGAGCCGCCAATCCGCCACTCCATGGCCCGGAATGGGCAAATGGACCATCGACCACCAGAAGCCATACAGTATCAGAACGCCGTCTCCCAGGAGGAGAAGCGACTCGGGATGGCAGGGACCGACAGAAAATGCAAAGAAGGGCCGTGGCAAAGGAGGGCAAAGTGCAGGGCAATGCGTGCCAGCCACAGCTCCGGCCATGAGCGACTTGCCGAAGCCGCCAACTTCAGGCAATCTGGCGCCCCCGCCAAAGCAGGCGGCTTTGCCGTCTGGCTCGGGATCATCCTCCGATCAGTTGTTGCAGGCACTCTTACCTCATCTCCAGGCGGATGGACTGCCCCCAGCATTGCAAGCGCAGCTTGGAACGTACAGAGCTACGAGCATCAACTTAGAGGGGAAGCAACTGCATGGGCTTGTTGCCCAGCAGGGACAAGCAAAGCGAGAGCTCGCAAAGTTGCAAGTTCAGCGCAACAGGTACGAGTTGGGATGGAGCAAGTATGTATCACAAATGACGGATGTCTTTTTGCAACAAATCAAGGAAAAGGAGGGTATCCTAGATCACTTCGAGACGTTGGAGCAGCAATGGACGCAACAACTCGAGGCAACCTCGCAGGAACTTCAGAAACGAACAGCTGCAGAGGGCCACAGATTCAAGGACGAGGATACCGGAAACATGGACACAGAAGAAGTCACGGAAAATGCCGTTGCCATGCAGATGGAGCTCGCACGAGCCAAGGAGCGACGTGCCGAGCAGGCGGTAAGGGATGGCGAGATGAAACAAGCTCTGGAGAAAGCGCGTGCTGCTGCAGAACAGGAGAGACAAGGCAGAGAAGCATCGCGCACTCCAAGGCGCAGAGGCGAAGTAATCAATGTCGACGACGACGATGCGGAAGTGCCAGCGAAACGCGGGGCTATGGCCCCTCAATAAGCCTGTGTCCGAGCCGAAAGGGACCACACAGGCAGATCCCCAATGCCATCGTCATGGATCACTCAGTGACTTTCGCTGCAGACTATGTGTCACCCATGATGGCTCAGATGTTAGCGATATCGCTGGAGTTCCAGGTGGCAATGGATGAGGAATATGAAATGCAGATGAGCAGCTGGCGCGACCCCAGGTTGATCAGTTTGTCGAGTTTGGCCTGTGACGAGCCGCCGGCTGTCCACTATACAACGATGGGCAGGTCGTCCAACAGTGATATATCGCCCGAAGAGCAACAGTGTACAGTAGCAGATGTAGATGAGGACGCGTGTTTAGAAGTTTTGTACAGACCACGCAGCTCGCTAGAGACGGCGAAGCCCTGGATAGCTGTTTGGTGAAGCAGTGTGGTTGGAGACCACGCCGAAAAGTTTCCTTCGCGGATGAGAGCAAGGTAGAATCTCAGCATGGCGCAGGACAGAGCGCCAGGCGCGTAGATTTTCACCTTGAGCTAGGCCAATGTGTGCATGCACAGATGGATTGTCCAGGGCTAGATGATAACCTCCCCAAAACTAGGCATGAGGAAGGTGCGGTCGTCACACTCACTCTTGAAGAGCTTCTGCCGCAGACGCAAGCTTGGTCGTCCCACAATCGTGTTGGAAGACTCCTGTTTCATAGTGAAGCATGTTTGGAGATGCTTGGCATGTTGCAGCAGGGATGTTGCCTGAGTGCCTTTTCCCAAGACATTTCAATGCTAGGGAGGCTTCACGTCAATTCGGAAGCAGCACTTGCAACGATGGAGCTATGGGATCAAAGCCGTCATGTTGATGAAGTCCGGCTTTACACTGATGGATCCCATTTGCCAGGCACATCACACATGTCATGGTCGATTGTTGCTATCGTCCGGTGCCAGCGTCAATGGCTGGTGGGCGGTTTCATCTCCAATCGCATTCCTATCGGAGACTTGAGTGTTCAAGTGTTGCCCTGCTCTCACATTGCCGAAATCTTTGCGATGCTGTATGCGTTAGTTGTCACTTCTTGCTGCGAGGCCCCGGTCTCCATTGTTTACGATTGCGTGTCTGCAGCGCATGTGACACAATTTGCCACGACAGACACGAGTGTCTTGAGCGAGGCGGCAGTGCATTTGGCTGCAGTTGTACGGTTGCTTGACAAATGGCCGGAGTGGCGGCACGTACGCAGCCATACAGGGGATCCCTTCAATGAATTGGCTGATGTCTGCGCCAAAAGAGCAGTCAACGATATTGGCTCTTGTCGACCCCCGCAAGACGCTGCCATCATGACCTCGGTCCTAAATGAGAGTTGGGCTGCATGGTTGTGGTTGCATCTGGCTGCTCGCATGTTTCCTGAACAGTGGCCAGTCACTCTTGAAAATGGCGCCTTACATGAGCGTGACCATCAGGCAGGGATGAAACGAGACCTTGGGCATATGTCTACGGATGATGTTTTTTGTACGCCAGACGACGGCCAGAAAAGGGACAGGTCCAGCATTGAGTTCAGCATGCAATTGGTGACGTACAATTGCTTATCCCTTTTAGCCACAGGACAGGTTGAGATGCTTGATACTCAGTTTGACCAAGCAGGATGTTGCGTCGTGGGCTTACAAGAGACACGTGTCAATCAAAGTGGGCCTGCAGCGGGCCGTGCTTTTGTTCGATTTGGCTCCCCTAGCATCCAGGGAAGGGAGGGTTGCCAACTGTGGTTTTCCAAAACGAATCCGGTAGGGTATGATCGCAGAGGGCAGGCCGTCTTTTGTGACTTGAGTTCATTCACGATCCAACATGAGGAAGAGAGGATTCTCGCGGTTACTGCCAAGGCAGGGAGCGTTCTGATCAGTTGCATTTCGGCGCATGCCCGAACTAGTGTAGCGTCTACGGAAGATATCCGAGCCTTTTGGCATTCACTGGGTCGTGTCATCGACAAAATGCCTGATCGATCCGTGAAGGTTTTGTGCATAGACGCAAACGCCCATTTTGATGAAAGAGGCAAGAAGGACAACCGCTACATCCCCCTGAACTTGAATGCCGAACTTTTCCAAAACGTTGCCATGAACGCAGGGCTCGCGATCAATGACCTGTGGGATTTGCGTGGGGAAGCAGTGCGTACATGGGTTGCGCCGAATGGTGTCTTAAAGTGTCTTGATTATGTTGCTGCGCCTGTCGGGTTCAGAGGTGGGCTTTGCACGCAAGGCGCGTGGCGTCACATCCTGGACCGATACGCTGGCGTTGATCACTTCCCGCTTGCAGTTACCTTAAAGTTCCAACTTGAAGGGACGAGTTGCCAACCTTCCACTTTACGATTCGATGTCCAGAAAATGTCGACGCCGCAAGGGCGAAAGGATC